AAACTTGAAAACCTGTTCTATAAAATGCATGCAGCAAATTTCATCTAAGGAGGGAGACTCAGCAGTCTATTACTGTCAAACATGGGACGACTCTGCAGCTGCATCACAGTGATTTACACTGTGACAAAAACCTCCTCACTAAACACTTCTGCTTTTTCACTTGGTGATTCATCATGACTGAGAGTCAACCTTACTGTGATGTCTCTGAGTTACATCTATCATTAAATACAGTATCTGTAAATATTATATCAATATGTTCCATCCATCTTCATCCGCTTCATCTGAGACCGGGTCGTGGGGGCAGTACCCTGAGCCGAGCCTCCCACATTTCCCTTTCCCCACACACCTCCTCTAGCTCCTCAGGAGGAAAACCAATATGTTGAAAAGTAATAATACATATAGACCATTAAACACCATTACCTGACACAGAACGGTAGCTTTTGGTAAACCTGTATTTTGACATCGATCTTTTGTGTCATCATTAAGTCTAATGACTCAGATTTACTGCATGCATCACATTATGTATCATTTCTGAATCTTTATATTTCTTTGCTTTTGTACTTTACAAAAATCATCATCATCTGAGTTAGATCTTTTATGAGTTCAATCGTCCACCTATACATACATAAAAAGTAAACAATCCAGTATTGATCAAATGATAATAATTAAAACATCAGTGTTTGCAGAACAGTGAGCTGACACTTAACCTCTTAATTTACATAAAACTAAACAAAGACAGGAGGCTTACATGTGCATCCTGCAGATGGCAGACAGGAGTTGAAAAAACACAACCGGGCTTTTTATTGAACTCAAATGTAAATGCTCTGTGACTTTAATGCCCTTTGTGCTTTTCAGTAACCATGTACTGCTCTCTGGTGTGCATTCAACAGAATAGCAGGACTGTGGGTTAAATAGTTTCCCACCAGGCTGTAGAGATAAAAACCACAGAAACTTAAACAAATGAATGTTTCATATTTGGAAAGAAATAAGTGTTAAGGACATATTAAGGATCACTTCAGGTACTTATCAAGTTGCTATTTAAATACATGCCTACAGTCCTAAATACAGTATCTTTCTTAAAATGCTAACTTGGGTGGTCCTGAAAACCCGTTTGAAGACTAGGGGGGACCTGTCTTTTCAGGCTGTGGCTCCTAGACTGAGGAATGCGTTGCCCCGGCCAGTGTGTATGGCCAAATCTGTTGGTGGTTTTATGAAGCAGCTGAAGACACATTTGTTTAGTCAGGCTTTTAGTTGATTTTATAGTTTGTTTTAATGTATTTTTATTATGGTTTTTATATATTATCTGTTGGTGTTGTTGGCATATTGTTTTGTTAGTTTTGTGTTCTGCATTGTTGACTTTGTGAAGCACTTTATGATTTTATCTGTGAAAGGTGCTATATAAATTAACCTTTACTTACCTACTTACTAATTTTAGTATATAGTAAATAAGGTACAACTGATGAAATGCCACAAATGTCTGCAGTACTTGTAAAATGTTCATTTTTACTTGAATGCTTGGTGGGATCTGATGTTGTCTCACACAGTTACTTCGCTTTACTGCTGACAACCAGCAGAGGGCAAATAGCAATGTTACTGTATGTGTGGGACAGACAGGGCATTACTGGACAAGAGACAGGGATGGGGGAAGAGGAATTTGAAGTATAATAGCAATGTAGCATGAGAAACGCTTGTTTTGAATGCATTTTATGTCCAACATCTCTGCATTTGGAGTCAGCTTGAATGATCTACAAATCTTTTGCATAAATCATTTGGACAGAATGGACATTCACAGTATGACAAAGAATACAGCTGTCAAGTCCCACATAGCTGCTGTAATGTGATATTTGCAACACTTATTTGTACTCAGCAGAAAGCAATAAACAACCACATTTAAGCATCCAATGTCATTTGATGCCATTCTCCACCTGTCCACTAGTCGCCCCTGTTCAGTTTCCCTGCCCCTGCCAGTCACCTGACTTCTCTATACAGGTGTTAATCTACCTAAGATAAACTTTCCTTTTGCATTAGTATAACAAACTCTTCAGTTCTGCATGTTACTCCAGCGATACACATTATCTAACAGTAGCCTAACCAATAATCTGGCCATGATGGACACAGGTGGATTTTTAATGGCCCAACGCTCGGTCTCTCTATTACCCTGTCAGAAAGACTTTAGGACTGTAAGGACATAAGGTAGGGTGGTGTATGCGCTTCCAGTTTAAATTAAAACACATTTCAGTTTTAAAGACTCACACCACGCGCGGGCACTTACAAGATTAATCTAGAAATTGCTATCAAATAAGACACAGAAAACCAGAGCACTGTGGGAATTAAGATGGTTTTGTCTTCACAGATAAAAGACCGTTTTAGCCTTCGGTACGTACTTTGAAAGGTGTAAACGGAAGTACTTTTATACTGTCTTTCACTTGACACTGGTGCAAAATGTCGCGCAGTCTTTCTGTACCGAAGCTGAAACGCAAATGCTCACCGTTGTCCGACGCGTCTTTTCAAACCCAAACAGCTGCTTCTGCCATTTAACGGCATGTTAAACTACATGTAGTACGTGGCAGGAGCTAACAGTTTTATTCTGAAAGGAACATAAATGGGATTTATATTTCCAAATGTTTGGAACAGTCTAAATTTCACAGTGTAAGCTATCGGTGTAAATGACGGATAAGCGTTTGGGTAACCGAGAAGGTGCCCTAAACTTGGCCAACATAGCTGTCACAGGGATATTTTTCTCAAACAAGAAAACTAACAGATGTGGTAAAATGGAAATGACTGTTAACGACTGGCTCCAAATCTGTTGGAGCTGAAGGTAGAGCAGAATTTTCGGGGGGCTCTCTGTAAGGTGTGATGGAATTAAATGCTGCGCATTACTGCTCCACTTCGTGTTATTTGAATCTTGAACGCTCCTGAGTGTGGAATTTATTCTTGACCGTTTTGTGTTTAGGCTCTTGCTGTCTTCTGCAACGCAGCCAGGAGGATGGTCTTTGCCTTCCATGTCATTGTCATGTCTTCTGCGTTTTTCAATCCCAGTTTTGCCTTCAGCTCTCACTTTGATACAGGTAAGGTCAGACTGATGAATGAGTTGAATGAGAGCGTTTGTCCATTTGCTGCAGATCTTCCTGTAGATTTTTTCTCTCTCCATGAAGATGAGTGATCTCTGAATATGATGTTTGATGCCCATACACTGGGTCCCGTTGCTATATTATTGTATACATAAATTTTGTTGTCAATCGTCCTCATTAACATCGCTACAGTGTGGTTGTATCTCCTAAGATTAGCTCAAGCCTGAATGTTTTACATAAAGCCAGTCCCATATATAGTATTATACTGTAGCTTGGTGACAAGAGGGTTAAGAGTTGTGCCTGCACTGAATCTGCATAGTGCTACATGAAGCCTACATCCCTGCAGCTGCAAACAGTATGTGAATCTGTGTATGTGATCAGGTTGTGTTCTGAGCTGCTGACTACAACATTACAGCGGGACCTACTGACTGGGGTTGTATGATTCTGCTGTTGAGGATTGTGGTACTTTATGCCCATTTAGATGCAGGTTTATTCATCTCCTGGATGTCGGGATGGTGTAATCCTCGGTGAATTGGGGAGCCCAGGTGCTGCTGCAGTGCTACACGAACACTGAACAGGAAGTCATGGCTGAGGGGACAGCCTGTGTGAGGACTTGATTTAGAGCAGAATAAATAACTGTGTGCAAGTGTAAACAGGACTGAGAGGGTCCCTGAACTGGGCGCAGTGTGCTGAGCATACAGATTATGGTGAGCCTAGTGGCTCTCAAGTTTCAGGCTTTGTCATCCCCAAAACAGCATGCGAAGTTTCATTAAGGTAAGCACCTTGACAAATATGTGATACAAGTACATGTTTTATATGCAGAACCAGTGTAGCTTTTTCTTGGATGTAAAAAATCTGTGAGATACTATTGGATATGATGAAGATGTTATTTTCTGCTTTAGGATATACTTTTAAAGAGAAACAGAGATCATTTTAGTGGTTATTTGGAAAACCGTTCTAAGAACACTCATCACGATGGACTGTGTAGTGGTTGCTGAGCTGGGCATCACTGGGTCTGTGCAGTGAAATGATGCACACCTACCAGAATGTAGTAACCTTTTTATCCCCTGAAGCAAGATAAATGGTTCCCAGCAGAATTATGTGTAAAATGCCTGTTAACTGTGGCTCTTCTGGGGCATCTCCTAATTTAAGTGTCTTGATATTTTCTTGATGAAAGCAGATGGAATCAGAACATGCACCTAAATTGACTGATTTTTGGTGGAGGGTGGGGTATGGGTGGGCATGTACATGTGGCTTGCATGTAGCTGAAGTAATTACAAGGATCTGGATAGTCACACCCCTCTTAAAATAATCTACAATGCTCATAAGAGCAGCACCTCACTTGTGATCCTGTTCCTTTCCAGTAATTGAACTGAGAATCGATGTTGCCTAGGTGATGGAAAGGGGCGTGTGAGGAGGAACCAATCATGGCCAGTGTTGAGGCCTGAGAAATGCTAGGGTCCCTTAAAGGGGAGGAGCGCACTGGGAAGAACAGCATACAGACACATGTAGTTGCTGAATATGCTGTCTTTGAGGCAAAGGAGCAGATGAATAAAACGTACTAACAAATAAACTATTATGCCTGAATCTGATCTAAAATAGCCCGATGAATTAAAGATTCAGAGTCTGGTCAGACAGCTATACCATTCCATTATTTTGGTTGTAGGATTTTTTTGGACCATGCAGTCCAGTTGTGTGTTTTGTATACACACAGGGGATTGAGTTGAGAGCAAATCTCAAAATCAGACAACCTTTCAGCTTTAGCTACTCAAGCCATCATCCACAGCTGCACTTCTTCCCCTGTGCCCCAGGCTGTGTAAGACTGTAGTGTGTTCCACCTCTCCATACATTCACACAAGCTTAAACACACACCCTGACAGAGAAAAACGACTATGGTGCCATGTCATGTTGCATAGCATTATATAAGCCATCAGCAGGGACTGACACACCGTAGCAGGATTGTTTTTCCTGACTCCATCAGGTTTCACATGCCTGGGCTGCAGCTTGATTTGTGTGCAGCCAGGGGGGAAACTAGCATTCTGCACCAGTGACAACCGCACTAGCACCTGGCTTACTACTGCTTCAGCACCACGGAGAGCTCTCCCATCAGGCAAGGGAGCAGATGTGAACATGCGTATGTGTGAAGGGAAGTCATTTGAAAACCTAACCGCATCCTATGTACAGAGATAAGGTATGCTTTGCTGTCAGGGCAAACAGAAGACAGATGGACTTGACCTAGAAGGCAGAGCTGAGACACCAACAAACTGATAATGCAGCACTGTGGGAAACCGTCTTTGAGCAGTGATGTCTGGAGGTTACAGTGGCAGGCAGTGTGCATGTCAGAGACAGTGTCTTGATATAGAAGAAAAACACATCTTTTTGATTGCTCACATACACTGCAACATACTTCATAATGCACCTTCCACATGCAGGAAGCCTTACATAAACATGGACACACCACTGCAGGTAGTGATGCGGGAGAGGAAGGATGTTTTTCAAAAATGGCATCTTGACATGCTCTCAAAGTTTCTGCCATTGACTCGATCAGTACACGCCAGCCGCTGACTATTTGATTGTTCCGTTTGTAACACCAAGCGCTTCAGTTACGTAAGTCTGCCTCTGGGGAAGCTAGAATAAGAATGAAGTGGATTTAAGCAGTCAAGGGGAACCATTTATGTCTCATGTATGTGATGATGTGGGGGATGGTTGTTTGTTTTCAGAGACAGACTCATGCAGTATTTAATTCATCACCAAGCTCTGCATCATTTCTTGTTGAATTTACTGTAAATGCTAGAGCACACCAGAGCCTTTTGCAACAGCTGAAATGGAGAAAGAAGTGGAGAAGCTGCTACTGTAGTTGGGGAGTAATGCTGAGATGCAGTGGGCTGATTGTGGGGACATGCTTGCAATGAAACTGAAAGTGCACACACGTAGGTTTTGTGCTCAAACGGACAGTTCGAAGTAGACATTTGGGACAAATGTGTGAATTCACTGCACGTGCCATTTGAAGTGCATATTTCTGCATATAGGTTGTGCATGCATGCAAATGCCATTTGAAGTGCATATTTCTGTGTCTGCATATAGGTTGTGCATGCATGCAATTTTGTGATTATCAGGCCTGAGCTTAACTACACGGTCACAAAATTAGGGTTCCTGGAGCCTATGTCACAGGATTGTCAGCACTGGTCAAAATTAGCATTTTTAATAAAGCATGTTGCTTGAATCCCCAGTCAAGTTCCCTTCTCCACTTGAAGAGGATAATATTTTCATTCCGTTCATTCATTCAACCATCTGTTTGCTAATGGGGTAAACTATGAACAGCTTTTCTTCCATTTGTGCAGAATAATCATTCTGACTCTTTGTGCTGCAATTCAGCAGATTTCCCTCAAAATGTGACCCAACATGCCGCATTGCAAAATGCAAAACGGAAGCTAGTAGAGGCTGCCATTCACGTCTGCAGTGATCTGTGCTTACATTAATTATCTCAACAAAATGAATTATTGATGTTAAATGCTGCAGTACAACTAGAAACTTTACATGCAATAGTTAATCTGTGAAAGATCTGTCCATCACAGGCAGAGTTGATATTCAGGCCCCTCTTTTCCTAGCAGTGTGCCCTTGCCTGGGCTGTCGAGGGATGGACACGACAGGCCTGTAATACTGATCCCTGGTGGTCCTCCTTGGCTCTCATTGCCAGTTAATGACAGTAATCATGGCTCTCTGCAGGCCAAGACAATCCCTCTTCCATTTGTAGTCATTCACAGAGAGCGTGGCTAAAGAACGACACAGAGGATGTAAATCAGTGGAGGAAACCGTACCCAGCCATTAATCATGTCATGCTATTCCCTTGGATGTTAAACCTTCCCAAGACTGACACATCTGTGTACGTGTTTTGCAGAGTGCTTTGTTTTCTGCACCTCTTTATGTTCGGCCCTCCCTCATCACAGTCTCATGCTCCCTCTTGCTTTTCACCTCCCCTTTTTTTTCAGCTTTGCAACTCCTGCTTTAGCTTCCCTGTTCCTTCTTTCTCCTGAGTATTTTCTTTCTCTTCCGCTGTCCTATAACATGATCTCTGCTCTTTTTGTACAGCCTGTAACAGAGGGTTGTTTTCTCTCTTGGGAACCTAGGCTGTGTCAGAGCTGTCACAGCTTACTTCTCCTTGAATGCAGCCCACTAGGTCTGCCAGTGACTCTAGCAACTCTGGATCTCTATGCACTGATACATATAAATAGATGGTTAAATATATTATGGCAGCGAAGATGGACTCACCACTTGAGCCAACAATTGGTCCATAATAGGCATTTATTAGACTTTTTCTCATTACAATTACATTCAAAAAATGGTGTGTACGATTAGATTCAGTCACAACACGGTTAAAAATTCTATGACAATAATGTATAACTAATTGCAAAGTACTTTTACTTTATTTCTCTCTTTTCCCGTTTTTATATCAATGGTTTGTTTATGCAACCGTCCCATCCCTATTGTTTATGCATTTTATTTACACTGCATGAAAGTGGAGAATCAATGTTTAGCTTTGCTTACGGCTCAGTCAGACAGCTGTCTTTCAATTACCTGAAACTGAAATTCTTCTTTAGGCTCTATAGGCTGATTGTTTTCATTGTTGACCTGTTGTAAGCTGCACCTCTTTCCACAAGCTTTGGAGCTTATTTTCAAATTTTCTGCACATGTACGTACAGTAGGAATGCATGTGTTAATGGATGTAAATTTGTTTTGATAGACCAGCTACTCTAAAGTGTAAATCTAAATCCAAAGGTTACACTTCTCTCCTGTCTCTCTATTCTGTTGTGTTCCCTACTTTTTCTCACTCTTCGCCATTGGAGAGGGATGATGGTGCATTGGATGTATGTGTTGTTGTTGTTGGAAACCACTTGGTGCAGCCCAGGCAGGGCATATGGAGGGAAGCTTGTTTGCCCCTGCAGCACTGTCCTGAATGTAAACACATGCTCAGAGGGATTTGGGGCTCTTTCTGCTCT